ACAAAGTAACTGCATTTATGAGATCACAAAAGCAGATAACAAACTAAAGCTGACGGACCCCTATAGACCTCACTACAATCAATTACCAGCCAGAATCCACAAACCCTCACTATTACATACAGGCACCTACGTAAATAGGCAGAGAATAGTGAACATAAGTGAAAAGTAGTTTTAACTTAATAATCTACATTTCCTGCAGCAATTAGCCAGGTTGGGCCTTATGCCTCACAACTTCAAAAGAAAGAAACATAGGACCACTGTGGTTAAGCAATTTAATGAATACTTTAGAAAATCAAAATAATTAAGTAGATGTTAGTAATACTTTTACTATGGAAAATAGTACATTATGTAGGATAGAAGATTGATAGTAGAAACAATAAAGTAGTGTAGGCATTGATGATTAATAGAAACTTATATTACTAAGAGGATGTAATCAGGGGTCTGATAAGTGGAAATGATTTGTTTAAGGTTTAACTTGATCTTTTAGTGGGAATAAGAAGAAACAATTTATCACTTACATAGGACAGAAGATGATTGTCAAAAGGAAAATGTTCAATGGTTGAAAAATGAACAGGATATGGAAAGGTCAGTTTGGACAGCACAGAAATACTTTTATTAAGGTTGTATAATCACAGGGTGAAGGAATGTTATGATTAAAACTGTGTAATAATTCAAGGGAAAATCAAAGTATCAAATCATTATGTACTGTGTAATTTTAAGTATAAAAATAAAGAAGACTTGCTGAGCTGGGGTTGAGAGAAAGAGAGAAAAAAAAAGACAAACAGCCAGACAGACTGTTGATAGCCCCATCAGCCAACTAAGCAGAGACTCCTTGATTAATTTTTGCCGATTCCGCGTCTCCTCTCGTGTCCCGCGACCCTGTGAGAGCTGGACTCCTGCATCCTATAGACTACTGTCAATCTGGAGATGAGAAAAGAGGAAGGGCTGGTTGATTGAAGTATGGTGAGACCTGGGGACTCCTGAGCCCATGGACAAGGATATAGAAATGGAGGTTTAGAACTGAGAGTGAAGCGTCTAGCTGATATGAAGGGGAGATGAGATGCACAAAAATGCCCAAACTTATAGATAGTACCCATTTGACCCAGCTTCATTGGCCTGATGATCAGAACTTGACTTGTGCTGTTAAGTACCATGGAGTTGGTTCTGACTCATAGTGACCCTGCACAGGGTTTCCGAGGATGCAAATCTTTACGGGGAGCAGAAATCCTCATCTTTCTCCCACGGAACAGCTGGTAGTTTCAAACCGCTGACCTTGAGGTTAGTAGCCTGATTCATAACCACGATGCTACCAGGGCTCCTTAGAACTTGACTAGAAGACTAGAGGAAGATAAAAAATATTTGATAAAGAAAACAAGTGTATATTGCTACAATTTGATGAATTTGACCTATACTTATGGATATAGTAGCTCAAAATACCAACTGAGGGGGATGGAATCTTCACATCAAGGATCAATCCTATCCCCTCTGGGTTGGTAGGGATGGGGAACTTAGACACTGGCTACCTAAAGTGGGATGCAATGAAGGCACGAGGTGACTGGCTTACAAGTTTTCAAGAGGGAGCTTAGTTTCAGAGTGTACAACAACCATTTCTGAATGATCTTCAACAAAATTCTACCCATGCGATATTAAAGATATTGCTCAATGATTTTCACATTCTGTTGTATCACCTTTCTTTGGCATAGGAACAAATATGGATGTCTTCCAGTCAGTTGGTCAGGAAACTCTTCCAAATTTCATGGCATAGATAAAGTGAGCATTTGCCACACTACATCAGTTTGTTTAGTTTTCAATTTGTATTTTGTCAGTTCCTGGAACCTTGCTTTTTGCCAATGGTTTCAGTGCAGTTTCAATGTCTTCCTTCAATACTGTTGGTTCTTGGTCATATGCTACCTCCTGAAATGGTTGAAAACCAATTCTTTTTGATACAGGAACTCTTATGTATTCTTTCCATCCGCTTTTGATGCTTCCTGCATGGTTAACTATTTTGCCCATAGAATCCTTCAATACTTCATGTTGAGGCTTGATTTTTTTTTTTTTTTTTTTTTGCTTCCAGTCTTTCAGCTTGAGAAATGTTGAACTTATTCTTCCCTTTTGGTTTTCCGATCTAGAGTTGCATACTTCATCCCAAGACAAGCCCATGGCTAGAAGAGCCATATTAAGTAATTCAGTGCATTGAACAGATGGAGGATTTCTACATTTTTGTCAATATAACAGGGGGAAATTCCATTATGTACTTTGTTTGAATGAGATAATTTCTCTCCTATTCAAAAACTAATTGTTTACCAACTACAAAGATACTTTTATCTTCCCATTTTTGATGGGAATCTTAGATTTAAACATTAGCCACCATAAATGTTTTAGTCACTATTGGTATACAGTGTGAAATATATTGTAGCATTTTATCTAAGGACTCTTAGTGGTACAGTGGTAAAGCACACTCTGCTGCTAACTGAAAGGTCAGTAGTTTCAACCCAGCAGCTACTATGTGAGAGAAAGATGGACAGTCAGCTTCTATAAGATTGTAGCCTTGGAAACAGTATGGGGCAGTTCTTCCTTCTAGGTCCTATAAGGTTGATATGCATTGGAATCAAATTAACACCAAAGGGTTTGGGTTCAGATTTTTGTTGTTGCTTTTTTAAGCATTCATTTGCAGGAAAATCAGGGGAAATAAAGAAGAGAAACGCATATAGGCTGCATTAGAATGACATCTTAAAATTCACATTCACAATGAAGTATCCTGCAAATATAAGGGCCCACAAGCCTAGTGCGACACTGTGGGCTAATGTGCTGGGCTGCAAAGTAGGTTTGAACTGCTAGGTCGGCGGTTCAAGCTCACAGCTGCTCCTTGAAACCCTATACAGGGTCACTATGGGTCGGAACCAACTTGATGGCACTTTTAACAACAAGCCAACTATATCTTATTACTATCCAGCTGCACAACAGGGGCAAGTCACTCTGTTTCCTCATTTTTTTAGTTTTCTATCACCTGGCTTCTCTGTCTTACAAAGTAAATTTTCTGCATGTAAAAGCACCTAAAAATATAATGCAAGTAGAAAATTATAACTGTAAAATGTTTCACTTTATTGGCTTTTACAGTAACACTATTCCTGGTGTGGCACTGTGGGTTAATGCACTGGACTGCAAGGTCTATTTGAACTGCAAAGTCAGCGGTTCAAACTCACCAGTCAAACTTCGGAAACTATAAAGGGGCCTATGAGTCAGAACTGACTCGAGAGCACATGTTTTAATGAAAGTCCACACTTATCTGAAAAGCAATTCCTTTAAAAGTAATCCCTTTAAACATTAGTTTTATTGACAATATAGTTATGATTTGAAGTCAGTGCCTTAACTTTTGGGAACAGGATATGACACAAAGGCACAAAATAGTCACAAGCATGAATTAAGACACAATAAAATGAAATGCCTTATTGATTCACCAAAATGTAATAATGCAAACAATAACGAGATCAAGATTTTGAGATATACAACACAGGAGAAATAAACAACTTTCACTTAAATTGAAGTTTATTCAGGTAGAAAAACATCAAAATAACTAAAAATCAAGCTTCCCATGAATTCTTAGCAATTGCCTCTTCAGCAAAACAGCACAGACTGCATTTCCCCAAATAATGATGTACTCAGAATTGAGGTCCTTCAGCCAACTTTTTAAGAAATTGTTATAAAATGAGGCTCTCAAGGCCTCAAACTTCAAGGATAACCTAGGAGATATTTATGACAGAAGAGAGAAGACTCTGGCATGCAGACTAACATTACTATCTGCCAAACTGATGTCTATTCATATATTCATCGGGTAGAGTTTACATGATTACTGCATGCTTTTTGGAACCTTGAAGACAGGAAAAATAATCTACATATATAAACTGTTGACTTATCCAGAGTCCTGGTGTGGCGCTTAGGTTTAATGAGCCAGACTGCAAAGTCATTTGAACTGCAAGGTTGGCGATTCAAGTTCACCAGCTGCTCCTTAGAAACCCTACACAGGGTTGTTATGGGTCGGGATCGACTCGATGGCATTTAACAACAGCAACATTAAGTACACCCACACTTGCAGATAATACCCACTTAACCTGGCGATGATCAGAGCTCAAACCGAAGAAGAAAGAAGAGGGAAAAAAGAATAATCTGACACAATTTGATGAACTTGACACACACCCTATGGAAGCAATAGCTCAAAAGAGTGAACAAATCTTCATAGTGAGGATCATTCCCACCTCCTCTGCACACAGAGGGGACAGGGATGGGCAACCTGGACATTGGCTACCCAGAATGGGGGTGCTACAGAGGCGAGAAGTGACTGGTTTACAAGCTTTTAAGAGGGAACCTAGATCCAGAGGGCATGGAGCAAGGTAGAGTCTCCACTGAGTAGTATCCATTCTGCCTAGTCAGAGCTGATGAAAGGAGATACAGATAGGTCTCTTGCGATACAATAGCAAATAATTGTTATCAGGACTGATTGTAAGGGCTGGAAATGTAAAGGTGGACGTTTTGGGGCAAGGTAGACATTTTGGGGCAAAGGGAGGAGTGTGAGTAACCTTACAGTCTAGGAGCAGAGGTCCCTGGGACCATCAAAGGAGAAGAGCGGAGAATGGAACCCTACCCAGGGAAGCAGTGATGCCAAGATAGAGGCAGACTCGATAACGTGGGAGATGGAGGGGCTGGGGACTTTGGATCCGGAGAGAGAAAGGGGTAGTATGCGGACGACCGGGAAAAAAGAAAAAGAAATATATATATTGTTGACTTCTCCAGTACTGAGCAATGGTTTCAGTCTCTATCCTACTACTCCTACATCAATCAGTTCCTCCAGACTTGCATGGAACTCTTTAGGGAGTGGTTAGATATATACAAGGAATATTACATTTTAGGAACATTCTTAGTTTATCAAAGTTAAGAGATAACTATTACAACCGCTGAGAATGTGAAAAGTAGGTTTGCGAGAGCTGCCAATGACTTGGTACCAATTAGAAATTATCTTCATCCGATTCATTATCACTCTTGGGTTTTGTAAGCCTTTCCAGTTCTTCTCCATCCTAAAAGGAAATGCAGGATATCAATAATTAATTATAACAAAATTTGACGTTTTTAATTTTTATTATTTCATTTTCAATGATTGAATAAAGACAACTTATTCATAAGTCATTGCTCTTACTTGATTTAAAGTCAGGTGTCAGGTATGTATTACTTAGTGTCCATGATATGTTCTGTGAAACAGGACATTATGTGATTTGGATGTTGTAGGAGCACAGTATTAACTACTAACATCCGAAAACCATATTCAAACCTTATAGGATCCCACTTCTGCTGTCGTCAGCACTGTTATCATTGTTGCTGCTACTAGCAGAGGCTGCAAGGAGGGGCTTCGCCAGCAGCGGCCACAGGAACCGAGTGGGGAGGGGCAATGCGCACCCAGCCAAGCCAGCTGTTCCGCCTACTTGTGTATCAGGAGCAGTCTAGACCCAGGAGACCCCACCGACCCTTCCTATAAAGCCAAGAACCAGCACCCACAGCCATGTCCTAGGCCTCCGGTCAGGACTCCATAAATATATTGTTGTTAAGTGCCATCCTGTCGGTTCTAACCCATATTGAACCTTATAGGGTTTCCGAGGAGGGTTAGAACCACCAACCTTGCATTTCAAACTGGCCTTGTGGTCCAGCACATTATCCTGCAGCGGCCATAATATTGGTGGTGGTGGTATTGTGCAGTGCAGTCAGTTCCGACTCATAGCAAACCTGAATAAGGCTTCCGAGGCTATAAATCTTTACAGGAGCAGAAAGCCTCGTCTTTCTCCCGCGGAACAATAGGTAGTTTTGGACCGCAGATCTTGAGATTAGCAGCCCGACTCACAACTACCACGTTACCAGAGTTCCTTGGCCACATTATTAAGATAGTAAAAAAGTGAAATGCATTCAGTAGTTGGAGTTCAAGTTAACAGTATGTGAGAGAGCACCCTCTGCTGGTCTTAACGGGAATTAACTAAAGAGTGGCGAAAGGTATAAATCAGGCCTTGTTTGTTAACCTACAGTGATTTTCTTTTACTTGAAAATACATAATCAGTCTGTTGGAAAAACATACAGGACTTCTGGGAGCAGGCCATTTGGAATGTGAGCTCCCAATTTTTTATCCTAAGAATCTGCTGTGTTATCACATCAGGAGCATTACACTAAGTTCCACTATACCATCAACTCTGTAAGCAATAGCTTAACTGTCCCAAAGAATGAAAGGTTTATATATGAAAGATTCCATTTGTATATGTTCAAGAAAATTGAAATTTAGAGCTAGATGTTGTTGTTAAGTGCCATCTAGTCAGTTCTGACTCACAGTAACCCTGTATAGGGTTTCCGAAGAGCAGCCCGTGGGTTTGTATCGCCCACCTTGTGATTAGCAGAGTCCAGTGCTGATCCTACTGTGCCACACCAGGGCTCAAAGCTAGATGGAGAAGTCTATTTTATCTCTTACTTAAGCATATGAAGACTTCACTCCTTAACTGAACCTCCAAAAGATTGTATTAACTAATTTGCTGACAAGTCCTTCTGAAACTATGTGCAACTGGCAGTCTGAATCACAGCGTAAGCATTTTCCTCAAAACTATGTTTCTCCTATTTGCAGAAATCTCTTTGAAAACCTTTTTCTAAGTGGGATTAATGGGCCTTGCCCTTTTGGCAATTGGTTGATTATTAACTATGGGGAGAAGTCAGGAGCTTGGTTCTTTACTTAACAAGACTTATAGAAACTCTGGAGTCCTGGTGAGGCGCTGTGGGCTAATGCGTCAGACTGCAGTCTTTCGAACTGCAAGGCTGGTGGTTCAAGCTCGCCAGCTGCTCCTTGGAAACCCCACCAAGGGTCTCTATGGGTCAGAATCGACTCACAGCAGTTAACAATTGAAATCCTATACAAGGTCACTGTGAGTTGAACCAACTCAACGGGCTCTTAGCAACAGTCAGTGGTACGATCAAGTCTGCGTATGCATGAGGCTTGCCTCCGTTACTAAGGTGGAGTGGAAAAGCAGTAGTAAACTAGGAGTCAGACCCCATGGGCCTAATACCAGTTCTTCACTCACTCACTGTAAATCCCTCAGCCTCTGAGTCAGCGTCTCCACTTGCAAATCTGGGGAGATAGGACCAGGCAAAGCGTGAAGCAGCTGCCAGCTCCATGATACCACTACTTCATAAGGCCCTTGAGGCCACAAGTGACATTTTTTCTCTATGCTTCAAAGCACTTATAAGCTCTTACACATATCAGGCGTTCCATGAATGCTGGGCGAGTGATGTCTAAAAGTCACAGATATCCAATACAGTCGTTGCTAAATCAGACCTTTATTTCTGAATAACCATGCTCGGAATTTGAGAACAGGCAAAAAAGTTACTCGCTCACAACTCACCCCTCTGGAGCGCTCCCAAAGGCTGCCACTGAGATCTCGGATCCTTTCTTGCCTTGGTGCATGTTCCAGGCCTTGAGGCTTGCTGGCATTATAAATAAATATAGCAAGGAGGACTGACGGAGCTTCCAAGAAAAACTCCAGGGAGGGCCTGAAGTCAAACACCAGGACAGCCACTGTTGTGATGATGACAGTGGTGACCTGGGCCATCAAAACATGGAAC